AATTTCATTTTTTATTACATTTTGCTACTAGATACATACATACATAAATTAGAGTTTGTGTCATCACTAAAGAGAGCAATTAAAAATTAAGCAGAATTGAAAGTTGTGAAAAAATTTCAAAAGATATACATACATACACACATAATTTTATTTGTAGATATGATTTTTATAAGGATTGAAGCGAAAGATCGGAAAGCTTTCTTTTTGTTTAGGGGCGCAAGATTGCGTAAAACGATAGACAAGCAGACATTCCTACGTGTATATATACACTATAGAGATTGTATACATATATGTATGTATATGAGATAAAATTGTACAAAGATACATATAGTGTATGTATGTAGGAAATAGGAATACAGCTGAACTATGCAAGTTAAAAAATCAGATTATATAATTGTTGTAAATAATAATACCTTGTATTGCAGCGAATCGACACTACAAGTACGATCTGATTTTCATGCCTTTGCGGAGCGATTTTCATTTTGCACGACCTGCAGAGTAATGGTGTGCAGTTAATTTAGGTGTGCTGAAGGATTGCTTAGATATGTAGGTACAAATAATACATACACTCACATATGCAGGTCCATACAAATACACAATATAAATATGCAAAAGATTCTAATTGCAATTTTTTTTATAGAAATATCTTAAAGACAAACATATGTACATATGTATGTATGTATGTACATTTTATTTATTTATTTCATACGTTTATGCTTCTTCTGTCCATTGAGGCCTTTTGCGTTGATGAAAAAGATATTTGGCATTAATAAGATATGTAATTACATACATACATACATACATTTGAAATCACTTATAAACTCGTAACTCGTAACACAATTCAGAAGATATTGCATTTAAGCGCACATACCTACATACATATTTACATATGTACATGTGGGTGGATGGAATTAGGACCGCTTGAATTACTTGATCACTTTTCAAAATGAATTCTGCCTGCGCAAAATTACTGTGGATGGCGTAGCCGGAGTTGGACTGATGAGGGTTATTTTTTTCCAAGCGCGTCCGAAAATCGCGAAAACCTGAAAGGTGTTCTGCACAAAAATACTGTGGTCAGCTTAGCTGGCGTCTACATTTTATCTGTCAAAATATTAGTTTTAACCCAGTTTCAAATGGGTTTCCCAGGGGCTTGTAGAAGGAAAGGGCAACTTTTCTTAAAGCTTCAACTGTGCTCATTCTTTAGGTGCCAAACTCCCTCCCCCTCCCTCCGTCCCCACCACAAAATCATTGTTCAAATAACCGAACACAAGTGAACCCGCATGGCGTTAAAACGCCTAAAATTTAATTTTAACTTTTTAAACAGGTGAAACTCTATTCAAAAAAGTCAAAAAATATTCCTAATGGTTTATATTTTTAACTTTATCGTCTAGTATTGTGATACATATTTCAATTAACTGATGAATTAAGTTGAATTAGATTTTTTAACACGTGGCAACTCTTCTAAACAGAGTTCAGAAAAAAATTATTTTCAAACCCATTTCAATTGATACCCATCTTTTGGCAATCCATTTAACTTATTAAATAATTTTAATTTAATTTTTTCAACAGATGGCAACCCTCTTATGACTCCCTAAAAAATTCTAAATGTTCAAACTTAAGATTTCTGAGCACTCTTTCGTTAGATACCCATATTTTAAAATTTTATATAACCTGTGTATATTTAAACTAAATTCAACTTTCAAAACAGGCGGTCACCATCTTCAATTTTTTTTTTGAGCTTAAATCTCCTTAAATACTTCAAGTAACTGAGCAGTTAAGCTGAATTTAATGTTTTATACACGTAGAGTAAATGTTCAGAAACAAAGGGTTTTAAGCCCATTTCGTTTGAAAACCATCTTTTAATAATTCATTTAACTTATTAAATAATTTGAATTTGCCACCAGGGCAACTCTCAAACACATTAAAAATACTCTAAATTGTTAAACTAAAGACTTCTTAAAACTCTTTCACTCCACACCCATTTATAATATTTCCTATAACTTGGGTTTAAATTAATTTAATTCGACTTCTCAAATAAGTAGCAAACCTCTTCAAAATATTTTAAAACTGCTACCTTCTAAAACCCCTTTTGTCTGACACCCATATGGTCATTCCTAATTATTTTAATGACAATTACATTAAATTTTAAACATGTGGTAACCCCCCTACACGTAGTTAAGATATAAAACCTTTTCAACACCATTTCGGTTGATACCCATATTGTAACAATTGACTTAACTAATAATTTCAGCATAATTTCTTAAAAGGTGGCAACTCTGTTCGAAGAATTAAAATCCTATTGCACATCTACAGCCCAGGTCCTTTATTTTGACACGTCACTTTTCAAAATCGGACGAACAGTGCAGATCTGATGACCTGGACAAAAAATCCCTTCGCGTCCCAGTAGATAATTTCAGGAGTTAAAAGCCCTTTCGAAATTAATTTGTAATGCTAAATAATATAAATGTATGCCCTCACGTAAATTTTAAATGGAAAGCCCTTCTAGAAGGCATACAAGGAAGCACTTTTTTCAGTCCTTTTCAGTAGGCCTCTTGGAATGGCTAAGAAGGCATACCTAAATCATCTCGTCTGGGGTATTATATATGTATATAGATTCCCAATTAATTTTTTGATTGCCGCCTAATTTCACTTTTCAAAATGAATTAAAACCGCGCGGCCTAATTTCACATTTTTTCATTGCGGTCTAAATGCACGCAGCCATAATTCACTGAGCCGCACATCAGTATATACATACATATGTTTGTATACATATATGTATGTAAGTATATGTACATACAGTTGGTATGTAGGATATCTAATAAATGTAAGTATGGTAGATGTTAATAAGCTCAGCAGCCCCAAGCATTTTGTTCTTTAATTTAGACATAATCATGTAAAGCATTTTGGGGGTTGGTAGTTACATGCGCCACGACGTCATTTCAATGCATCTCTTAAACGAGGAAAACATAAAACAAACAAGTAATTTTTAAGCAAAAAATACAACCGACTTCAATGCTTATATACAAATTTAGAAGTACCGTTAATTTCTTCATGATCCTATGATCGGAACGAAACCAAAATAATATGGGATCACCTTTCCGATAAAAACAAAAGAATTATCGAAAAGATCCAATCCAAAGTCATCCGGCAGGATACATAAAAAAATATACATATATATTCCAATTAATTGTTAAGCTTCCTCCTTTTTTTTTGAAGTCGGTTAATAAATATGTGTACAACTTTATTGTTAAATATATGTATGTATTTTCTTGCTAAACAATGAAACATTTTATATAACCTAATAAAAAGGAAACTAAAATATAAAACATAAATTACATACAATTGAATAATGCAATGAACAACGTGAAATTAAGTTTATATTTAATATCGAAAGATTTTCTTTTTGAAGAACATATATTAGAAACTTAACATACATATTCGAATGCGATACTGATCACTTGATAGAATGCGTTTTGCATGAGTTAACTATACATACATACATACATACATACATACATCAAAATAAAACAATCAATAATAACAGGGCAAAAGGAATCCTGGCTTTTAAGCATAGGCAAGCATTTCATTTGACTTAAATAATAATATACTGTGTGGCTACAATAAATAATACAATATAATCTTTTTATATCTACGAATCAGTACTATTCAAAGAGGAGTTGCTATCGTTAATGATGCCGGCAATTACCTTTTTGAGTGCCGCCAGCACCTTGTCCGGCATGTGATCCTGCAGCATTACTGGCGATATGAGAACCTCATCGAAATCGCAGGTATCAGCCCAGATGGCCTGATAAACCGGCTCGTGGCTCTTAAGAACACTTCTGCAATTGTAGAAGACAAGTACATATGTATATATAAATATAAATGTATTTATGTACAAGTATCGAGAGTTGAAGCAGGCTTGCAAAAGGAATGTATGTATGTATGTTTATTAGACCTTAGCGGAAAAAAAGTTCACCGTACACCCCTGAGTGTGAAGTGCTTTTGTCGGAAAATTTCGTTTTTTTTTTTTGTAAATTTTATTGTGGCTTATTAATATTTATTTCAAGAGCTTTATTGGACTTCGTACCATTTCCATTCTTCCTAAAAAACAAACGCGCTACAAAGCTCAATAACACTATTGACATAAATTCGGTTTAATTTTTTTGTTTGGCCGAACGTACGGGTTGGCTTTTTAAATTTTTCGTTACATTTACATTTCGTTAGGCATGCTCGGCGAAAAAAATAAAATAAAAAAGTGTTGCGATATTTCTCTTGCAAAAATAAATACTTTGAACTCAGGGGTATACGGCGAAATCTTTTTTTGTAAGGTGGTATGGGCTAATGAATATATGTTTTTACTGCATACATACATACAAATGTTATATCGACACCTGAGTGGAAAATCGATCTATCTCGGTAGCCAGTTCGAAAACGCCCTATCTCAGAAAACTTTGCAAGAACGCCCTACTTCCGAATTTGATTGAAGAACGCCCTTTTTCAGAATTTTATTCAAAGACACCTTATCTCAGAATTTGCCTGCAGATGGCGCTATTTCAGAATTCGGTTAAAAAATGCCTTATCTCAAATAAAAATGCACTGAAAATGTGCTGAGATAGGGCGTTCTTCGACCAGATTCTGAAATAGGGCGTTCTTGAAAAGTTTTCTGAGATAGGGCGTTTTCGAACTGGCTGCTAAAATAGGTCGAACTTCCATTCAGGTGTCAATATGTACATGTACATACATATAAGCACTTATAAGTATCAAATAGGCATTGAAAAGTTTTAAATATCTGGAAGAAATTTTGATATGTGCTACTTTCATAATCCGGTTTTCCTACACTTTCCTACTTGGGTTCTATTTAAATACATATGTACGTACGTATTTCATGCTTGAAAATCATGCAAATCTACAATTGATATTACATAGTTACACTAGCCAACAAAGTTGCGTGGCACATCAATTATATTGGACTTTTTGTAAGGAAATAAAATAGTACTTAAGAAAGCAATATAATTAAATTTTTTCTGTTCTTTGATCTAAAAGCACATTATTTAAGTTATGGGTATGTCCTATTAAAAGGCTTCAATTCCATATCATAATTAAGTATTTTAAAAATCAGATTCTCATTCTGCGCACCAATCAATCCTGCCGCATTGATTGTTACAGTTTTGTCGGCCGTTGTTATCTATCAGCAACAAGTATTAAACAGAAAAGGGAAAGCGAACGTAATAAAAGTATTTAATTTGTAAATTATAACTACACCACTTGTTAAAATTATAAGCGCGCCACATATTGGCAACTTTTTACAATTAATTTTTTCAAATTTATTTGTGTTATTTTTTTATAAAAAATAGTTTATTCTTTAACCAAAACCTTATTACTTCATGCTTTCAACTTTGTCCAATATTAAGAAAAATAAATAAATACACTTTCGTAAAAATTTCAAACTTTTAGACACACTTTGAGTATCCAGTTTTGTGGCCCATATAATTTTAGTATAAGAAAGAGCAAATTTGAGGTAGCTAGTAATGTTTACCCTACCGTTGAATATTGTCAATTTTCAACACTCAAAAACCCTCTAAGAATTCTAATTCAAAAGCTTGAAATTTTGACGAACGTTCATTATTTTTTTTTTTTAGTCAAAAGCTAGTATTTATACAGTTTTTATTGAAGCATAAACTATATTTTTTGTATAAAAAAACTAAAAGTAAGTAACAAAAAAGAAATAATTGTCAATATGTTGTGCGCTTATAATTTTGACAAGGGGTGTACAATACTCGTATTTATAGGTACACAAAGTTTATTTTAGATATATGTATATTTGTGATATTTCACACAAAATAGAGACCATGCGGAAAATTCGATTCATGCATTCGTTAATTGTAGGTTAACTTTTGTTAATCAAAGGCCTACCTCCAACCGCTGTCGAACTTTTGCCTGAAATGCATACGATAAATGAACTGTATTGAAATTCTTTTTTTATACATATGCAATACAATTACAATATTTACTGATTAAAAAAAAAAACACATATAATATGCATATCTAAAGGTACACGATTCGAGCGCTAGAACTGTTATATTACGCCATTTCTTACTTGTTATGTTCGTCAAATAAATGGCATTCTGTGTACTTCATATACTCGTATTTACTATGTACTATGTGCTATTTTTTAAATTTTTTATATTATTATTTTTTAATTTTAATAGAAAATCCATGTGTAATGCTCGAGTCACTTTATTTTCCAAATATGAAAATTTTCAAACTTTCACTCTAAAGGATTTTCAATTTGTACCATAGATATAATTTTTCGAAGTAACGTGGATCCTAAGATATTTTCACATGTGCATCCATATTTACTAGATAAATTAGTACCTATGCCTCACAAAAAAGTTTCTGTTTTCCAAGCGAATCATAAAATGTTGTCGATTCTATAACTCTCACAAAAATATATTGTGGTTGTTCACGCTTGCCTGATTGTCTGGTTAAATGTAATTTTCCTGTAGTGTATTTTTTTGCTGTACAACAATAAAATACACTACAGAAAATTTATTTTTATGCAGATTACCTGATAACCAGGCAAGCGTGAACACGCACATTGTCTTAATCCGGTTTTATTCGTAAGCTGGAGTACCTTAAAAGTGCCTCGTGTTTTTTATCAAAATATCTATGTATAGTTGGAAATAATTTTTCTTGTAGCCTTGATAGAAAATAATACACATTTAAGAGGTCTGCATCAGGGGTAGGAAAATATCTGTCAACTTTTTACGAGTAATGCAGTTTTTATAGAAGAAATGCGTGGGTATTTTCGAAACAGTGGAGCATATTCATAGTCGAAATAAAGTCATTTCTAAAGTAAGTCGCAGCTCTTTTGACATTGTCATTAAAAAGATATGTAATTACGAGATTGAATGAAATTGCATATATTTAAAATTTAATTATTTTGAGAATGTGGAAGAATTTTCGGTAAGACTTTAATGCACGTTCCTTAAGTTTTACAAAATATTTTTTTTCATAAAAAAAACGCATTTTTAAGGGCCCTTTCAATGCGGCCCAGCTTACAAATGTCGCGTCCAGCCCAAATAGTTATGTAAAAGTTTTAAAATCGATCCAATTTTTTAAATTCGAAGGGAACGAGGGATGTTGATTATTGACATAACATGGCTTTTGCTTGGTCTTAACGTTAAAAATTAAACCTGTAAACGAGTTCTTGTTTTAGGATAGCTAAGATATTTAATACATCACTCATGGTTTTAGCACAATTATGTTATTTATAAAAAAAGCTTATACAATAAAAAAATATACATTTTAAATAAGCCGCTTTCGATTTGCCAACCAACTATCGACATGCGAATGAAACAGCAATTCGCTTAGATCGAATTTTTTTTTAACTAAATTATTTCGTCGAAGTTTGAGCAAAACTGTAACTATACCCATATTTGTGTCAACAATTAGTTAGCGAAATCGTGCAATATGCCAACTTATATTCGATTTAAGCAACTTACTTACGAGCTACATATACATATATGTGCATACATACATAACGACATTTGGCGCGCAACACCTCGCATACGTTAAATGCAATCGAGCGTATTATTTTCGTTACTTTGAATGAGGGCTGCTACAAATATTTTGCGTTTCACAATTAAGCCAAATTTTTAACATCGTTAGTTAGCTCAAGGTTTCTAAATATTCTCCAAACAGCTTTATACGTTTTTGCATACATTTATGTCGTGGCGTTTGTTTTTGCTCCAGAGTAAAAGTGTAAATGTGAAGAATATAGGTTCATATAGAAAACTATTAAACATTTTTGGAAAAATATTTTTTTTTTCGGATCAAGCGACGAAGCGAATCAATGGAGGGAGTAGCATATCGAAAGCAGCTATAGTAGAAATAATCAATTTGCACCCATAAAACACAAACTTACTCTTCAGGTTTTGGATGGTGTCGAACTATGTGAATTATTCGGCCAGGCGGGTACAGTGGCTAAAAAAAGGTAGAAAATAATTATAAGAATTTTCTTATACATATATGTATGTACATAAGTATGTACTTGAAAACAATAATTCATTTGCGGTTACCTGGTGTAATGTCAAGGCAATAGAGCTGTCTGTGGGATGTGCACTTGTTGAGCGAGCAGAGTCTCTTTGCTGGTACGCCATGAAAACAAAAGAACAAATAAATGCATATACAGTGTTAATTCGCAACATTCTAAAGTGTATTTTTCTTACCTCTTGGTATTGGTTAATATGGATATCTTTGCCGGACATCTCAACAACAGATGTGGGTTCAGCTCCACAACCACAACAAATAACGGAGCAGGATATTGTTTTCCACTGGCAATATAAATTCAAATATAATAAAATTTAATATCACTCAATTCAACTGGTAAGAGTAAAATACAAAATTTATTTACTCACTTTCGGATCTACACTTCGTTGAATTGCATTAATTAGGTCAGCACGCAAAGCTTCCATCTGGTGCAATCCGATGCGAGGTACTACATCCTTCCCCAACACAACGGATGTAATAAAAGATTTCGTGTATTCAACCGCAGGCATACTTTAAAATTGATGATTAAGATTTACTAATGGCACATACATATGTATGTATAAATTTCGTATCGATCAGTAGTTACCTAAGCAGCCCACCTGGTGGGGAATAACTAAAGCACTGCAGCGAAGGATAGTCTGCTTTCATGAGTATGGCTAAAATAGCCGCAGTCCCAGCGCCAAGTGAATGACCCACCAAAACCAAGCCAAATTTATGTGTTCCCCTATCACGATTATGACTTAGCGCTCGCTCGATCAGTCCTTCTTCCTCTAATTTATTCTTAATATAAATAGCCGCCTGCACCATCCCTTTGTGGCCCAGCCAATCGTCGCGCGGTGGTGAGAGCGGCAGCACTTCTCCGTCTGCATTTAGATCTGTGAGTATATCCTTCATACTAAGTGTTCCACGTATGCTAACAACAATTTTCTTTTGAGTGTAATCTACAGCTACAAAGAATGGCGTTTCACCAACATCAACATGATAGGTGGCATAGATGATTTCTATATCACCAACTTGCAATGTTTTTTTAGGGCGGCATAATTACAAAAACAACAGTTGTCTTGTATAACAGTGGGTGTATCAGTTGGGGGACGGCAACAACAAGTAAAGCATCTTATTGCGAATATAAAACAAACAAATGTATATGTTGATATGTAGATATGCACGTACATATGATAGTATATGTATGTATGTATGTATGTAAAGGCATAAATAAATGCTAATTATTTACTCACTTTAACTCAGGCAGCAAATTATACAGTTTAGAGCGATTTATTATGAAGTACATTGGCCAGCCGTAGGCACCCTGAGCGAAATACATGTAGTGTATGATTGTTTGGAAGAAATCGTAGTTTTTAGCATCGTTTAAAGCTAGGAACTGAGTGCGCTCAGTGATTGGCACGCCGCTCAGGAACTCGTATGTGCCGTTCTTTCGCTGGAAAGATGAAAAAAATAGTCGTACGATATGTATGTATGTATGTATGTGCAAACGTAGTTTTTAGAAGACCTATTCAATTCCTTAACCCTTGAAACCAAAGAAAAACTTTGCGGACACATTTTTAAGCTCTTTTACTCATAAAAACCCAACTATTTAGACCTAACATTTTTAAATAAAGAACTAAGGAAAAAAGTAACTCACCAACAGTTTAATTTTTTAGTTAACAACGCTTTTCTCTATGAGAAAGTCTTGCACGTAGCACGGATTGTATGAAATGCAAAAATACTATTCCAAAATTGCAAGAGTACGACAGCCGCCCATTGCAAAATTGAAGCATGCATAGGTAGCAAGCAGCGAAATTCTGTATCGAATATAACAACAATATACAGAAAAAAATGAAGTGAGCGAAATGAGGGAAATATGCATCAATTCCAACAACAAAACAACTAGCACAGCGTCGCATTTATCTTGCTACTATATTTTTTTTTTTTGCAAAATACATATATATATGGGTTTCGACGTTCCATATTTTGCAGCGATATGAAATGTGGTTTCCTATGTATTTTTTTGTTGTGTGTTTGCAAGTTATGCAATCCGTGCAATCCATGCTACGTGCAACGGCTTTGCAAGATTTCGAGAATACCCCTATTCTAATTAATAGAGGTCGGATTTGTATGCAAAATAATAAGCCTAAAAATATGTGTCATCATAACTATAAGCAAAATACAGTCAGCGTCAAAAATACTTATACCCTGACGTTTTGACGATTTCATTTATTTCTCCCAATTTTTTTTTTTATTATTTAATAAAAATATAATTCATTCATTGGTACTTCTTGCATATGTATTCCCCGAGTCCTGTATGAAATAAAAAAATTAATTCTTGTGTTTTGCTGTTGAATGAACTATATATATATATATTTTTTTTAAATAAGTAAAGTTTTGTATGTGCGTCAGGGTATATTTGACGCTAACTTATTATGGTACATATTTTTAGGCTCATGTTTTAAAATATGCATTTTTTTCATCCAATAGTTTTATTGAGCTTGGTACCGGTATTTGAGTTTTTAGGAAAAATAGAAAAAGCAACAAAGCCTAAGCGATAGATGTTATACCTGATACATCGCCTCGTCAGGCTTTTTTCTAGACTTTAGCAGGAATCGAACCCGCATTCCCCGCTATTAAATTTTTTTCGTCTGCCTTATCCCTTCGTCTAGATACTATTCATAGAAAAAAAACATTTGATATTCACCCCTATGATCTTACAATAGGTACTAGTTCGAGTGATGAAAAAAAATAAATCCCTCCCATTTTTATCCGAACTCCATCGAAAAAATTTTGATTATACGCAGTGTTTTCAGAAAAAACGAAGTCCTGTTGTTTTAACCGCCTTAAAAAACGAGGAGGTTATCAATTCGTAGGAATATTTTCTTATGTATGTTACCGCATAACTTGGTCCACGTTAATCGAGTTCTGTAATTCTTTTTTTTTTTTAAGGAAAGGTTGTACTTCAGAGGTGTCCCATACTAATGAGAATTGAAGTCGGTTTTATTTTTTGCTTAAAAATTACTTATTATTGTATTAAAAATCTTACTGGCTTGTGTGTGAATACTTTCCGTAAAACATTGTGCCATTTTTTGACGCTAATTACACGGATCAACAAAATTTGGTCCTATTTTATCTCAAAAACGGGGCCGACCTCATTTTATAGATTTGAAGTGCATTTACAAAATTTTTCTAGCACGTCCAGTTTTTGGGAAAAGACTGTTGAAGTATCGGAAAAATTACAAATTAAAAAAAAAATAAATTAATATAATTTGTACGCAATTTTTCCGAAGAAAAACCCTGTATTAATGATCCTGGTGGAATCGTTCGCCATGTTCTTCGCAAATGTTTTTGTTTTTACTAAGTGTTTTTTTTTTTAATTTTCGCCCCTATCTTCTCAATCCATCGACATGAGGTCGTATCCATCAGACGAACTGGATTTGCATTAATACCTGTTTTTTTTTTCTTCGGAAAAACTACGTCCAAATTCTATTTAAAAAAAAATAAATTTGAAATATGGCATTTTTGCCATTTTTCGACACCTCAACATTTCTTTTTTTCAAAAACTGTACTTTCTAGAAAAATTGTGTTAATGCACTTCATATCAGCATCAAAAATCTATAAGATGAGGTCAGCCCCGTTTTTGAGAGAAAATGCGATCAAAGATTGCCGAACCGTGTTATTTCTGAAAATTTTTAGAAAACATATTAGGCACACTAAAAATTGGCATGGAACTTCGGCCTATATATCTAATAAGGGGGAATTTGCCTTGTTATATGCAGCAATGAGTCATATTCAAAGTTATCTCATACAAATAGACATATGTATGTACATACATACATATGTATGCAGCTGCAACGGATGCCTTGATTGATAAAGCTTTTAATTTCAAAATGCTTCCTGCATCTAATTACGAAACATTTTGAGCATGACTTAGAATAAAGAGAACATGTTTAGATTAATGAAATTTTTCCTAAAAATAAGGAAACTAAGTTAAGGCATATTTGTAAATATAGTTATTAAAATATATTTAATACCCCACTAACGATTTTTAGGTTTTTAAAAACTTGTATGAATATTCGTATGTACATATTTTAGTTACAAAAATTTAAAGTTAGAAAGCCTTACCTGGCGAACAACGGCTTCGCGTTCTATTCTTTGAAATTTTCGCAATAACACCAAACCTGCCACGACATCTGATGGCACCACATCTAGTTCGCGAAAGAAATCGCTAAGCAGACGGGCTATGTCGGTGAAGGAATTCCGATTGCGATCGGTGCTACGCATGCAACAGAACAATAGACGGCATCGATGGTCCCAACTGTCTTGATACGCACGCATCACTTTTCTGGGGGGAAAAAAAAAATATNTCTATTCTTTGAAATTTTCGCAATAACACCAAACCTGCCACGACATCTGATGGCACCACATCTAGTTCGCGAAAGAAATCGCTAAGCAGACGGGCTATGTCGGTGAAGGAATTCCGATTGCGATCGGTGCTACGCATGCAACAGAACAATAGACGGCATCGATGGTCCCAACTGTCTTGATACGCACGCATCACTTTTCTGGGGGGAAAAAAAAAATATAATAATAATAGATTAAATAATTTTACATTGAAAATCAATTTCGATAAATGTACAAATATATGCATTTGTTCAAATGTAAACTAACCGTTGACGCCAATTGCGATTCATGCTGTTGCTACGTTTATAATTGAAGCGAGATTCAGTCTCTCTCATTGACCTTTGATACTTTTTCATTTTAACCCATGAACGGCCGGCAGCATCGAATGTACACCAAATGGTAATAAGAGTTATGAACACCAATGCCCAGTTGCAAATAACAATTGCTGTGAGGATATAAACGTTTTAAAAGTTACGAGAAAACGTAGAAATATTACATCGAATAGGTATAATTACCCATGAAAATCTTCTTGGCCTCATCGATGGGCGAATTAAAATAATAGTTTGTCAACCATATTGTACCTAATACTAACCAAGTAATATCAAAAAATATTACCACTGTGTAAAGAAAGAAAAATAAAAAAATTTATAATCATTTTAAAAGGATAAAGTACTAATCTATAGTCGAGTATTTATCGTAGTCATCAATTCGAAAAGCATTAATTAACATTCTTGGAAAATCCGTTTTTAAATATTTCGCTAGTTTGCTGCCATTGACCCCACTACAAAATTTATTTATTATGAACAGCTCTGCAAGCATTTGCTATGAAAATTTGTCATTTAAGGCATTTTGAATTGGTGGTAACGATTTGAATGGTTGAATCTATGACCAACTACACATCGAGTCATAATTATAAGCACACGACATATTGACAAATTTTAGCAATTAATTTTTTACAACCTTTTCTTTCTTTTCTTTTCACTTGTATGTCCTGAAATTTCGCAATACATTTTTAACCAACTTCCTGAAGAGCAAGATGCTTGAAACTTCTAACCTAGATCGGAACCCGATGAAAATGCGATATGAGAAATTAATTAGATTTCTTAGAAAGATTTTGTAGTATAACAAAGTGCAAGTTTTTATGGTTTTATAAAAATAACTAAAATTAAATTAAAAAAAAAAAAAACATTTATGGTTGAAACTTGTCAAAATGTTGTGCGCTTATAATTATGACACGGGGTCTATACTTTAGCTTTATGTATTGCTCGAGGTCGAACGAGTGGAACATATGAATGGTCGCTTCAAATAATGTTGTAAGCGACAATTTGTTCAAAGCTAGTTTCCTTAATTTTAAAGATATTTATGTGTATATTTTATTTTTTTTTTAAGGCAAGATTCTTGAAGACTGCTATACCGAAAAAGTAGAAAACCAAAGCAAATTCGCGTATGTGCGTCAGTGAACAAATTTTTTCTATTTTGTAAAATTATAATTTTGTCGCTTACATCGTTATTTGAGGCTTTAAATACGACTTCGAAAATATTAATCGACTTACAGTAGGTTTAATTGTTAACTATAATGTACTGTATTGTATATAAGTTCTAAATTTTCTATAGTGCAAAACGGCGTATCGTGGTTCTGACATTTGTGCCAAAAAATATATTTGCTCACCGGAAGTTCCTCCAATTCATACTAAAATATCGATATTTAGGTATAAAAAGAAGAGATAATTCGGGATAAAAAAGAGAACCGTTTTGAAATAATAGAGGTTTTGCTCTCTCCAGTAAAATTTGGGCAGCCTCACATACGAGGTTTTTCATTATCTTGATACGCGGTTTTGTACTTTAAACAAAAGACAACACCTCAACATTTAGACTAGTTTTGACTATTTTTCGTTCTCCTTTGTTTTGATTTTTAATTGTCATACTTTTTTATAAAAGAGTTTAGCTCATTATTTAACAAAAACCATATAAATTCAAATTTAAAAAATTTAAGGGCTTGGAATTTTTGTAAAACTTTATGGAATTTTTGTAATTTTCGATTTATATGAATTTTGTTAGATAATCTGCTTTACTTTCATAAAGAAATAATGAGCATTAAACAAAGAAATAAACAAAACTGGCCAAAATGTTGGGCACTATCGTTTTGTCACCTGCTCTAAGTATGTGTAAAATTTATATCTATTTAATTTTTGAAAATTTTACAAGTCTTAAAAACCACTTACTGCTCTTAAAATATATCCAAAAGTTAATCGTTGTTCGTGCGGCAGAGTCCAGAATACTACCCCGCATAGATATAATACAGATACCCGCCTCAACGCAAACTGAACCTAGGTTAAAAATCGAATATAAATATACAGAAAGTTTTAAGATTTCCTTTATATACATATCTACATGTGTATGTATGTCCTTGTAGATACTTACAAAATAAAATTATCACATAAGAAATGTAGAGACAGAATAGTAGTTTTAAGTTCAAAACCGTGAGATTGTACTCGAATACCAATAATGATGCCAACACAATTACAAAACTGTAAAAAGCATACATTAGTATATCGAAATTCATTTAGTTATTCAACCAAAACTCTTACCATATAAGATGTATAATTAACAAAAATGCTCCTGGCACTACGAGATCATCTGAGCCTACTGACCAACGCCGCCTAAAAACAACGAGTCCAGGCATCTGAAAAATATTGAATGCAATAAACAGAAATATGTACTAGTTACATATATACCACAGGTTCAAAATTATAATGTTAATATTTTTTATATTTACATATGAGTACCTATAAAAATTCATATGTATGTTTGTATCGAGCGAAAAGTTGCTAAGTCCACTTTTTACGAAAGCTAATATTTTGATACTGGAGGCTAGAGAAATTAAAAATGCATTGTTTTGAAAAGCATAAAGATACTTATTTAATTTATTCTAGTTTATATTCAATGAAAGGAAAATTTGCTAAGTTCAAAAGAAGGACAGAAAATGTATACGTGCTCTGCCGGATTCTCAAATCAGCCTTCTATACATCGTCTACAAAGTTTTACAGAGCCTATCGTACTGACTGCCTTATTAGTGTGGCCATAGACCTGGTAAATCCAAAATATACCCGCCATATATGAAAATCTGTGAAAAGAGCCACGAGAACATGTTCAATACACACCATCCATCCCCTTGTTAGTTTTATAGTCGATTTCGACAGCTCACAAACGAGTTGCTTATACGCCGCGATGTCTGAGTTTGGTATCTCCTAAAATGGTTATATTATATTAGATTTTAGACAGGTTAGCCTCGACTTCTTAAATCTGAGTTGCAGAGCTAAATCTCTCAGAAAATATAATTTTTAAAAGCATGCAAAATTACTGGCCTCCCACAAATGGAGGGACCTTCAGTTTTATGCCGTCTTCGAACAACGAATGGTTTTTATAAGAACCTTTTTGAAGTTAGAAATACAATAAACTATCCATCAAACTACAAAACAATGGATGTTGCTCGAACCAGGAATCGAACATGGGTGCTACCGAGTGGGAGTGCGCATCCCTAACCACTCGGACACAGCGGCCACCTTTGTTAAGAATGTTACAAAATAGCGCTGGGAGTTCTATCCGGATATTTTAAATATCCGGATTTTCGAATATTTGTTAAAAAAAATCCGAATATTCGAATAAAAAATTCAAATTAAGTGTACTTATGAAAACGCGTCGTAAATGCCTCGTAACCGCGTAAACCTCGTAGATAATTTGATTTTTCATACAAAGTATAGTAAGTTTACGAGGTTTACATGGTTATGAGGCATTTACGCGTTTTGGTGAATTGCCCTGTTATTTATTTTGCAACTCTGAAGATTCAATAATTCTGTGAATAATTTTACGAACATTCGGAACATTTTAGAACATCTGGACAAGAAAAACGAGCGGATATTAACCGAATGCCCAGATTTTATCTGTATATACAGCCCTATTATAAAGTATGACAAGAAGATAGAGGCATCTTTCAGACTAACAAATTGGTCCAGTGCTATTTTTCTTATGATTTTTTTGGTGACTTTGTGTAAGTTGACCGGTTTTTTCTAAAGAAAAAAGCAGGTATACATATTCGGCATCAAGGTAAGAGTTTGTGTCGAAGTTTTTTCAGACTAAGTAGTAACATAACAGACTCTCTGATCCCAAATATATACATATGTATGTTAGCGTTCCACTTTTTGAATCATGTTCATATGCACGTTTTTATTAAACGCAATGAAAACAATCACAAATACTGCTTAAGAATTTTAAATAACTATTAAATACCCAGATTTTTATTTTTAAATCATTGCTAAATCGTTACTTTTTTACTCTTACTTTTCAAATAAAAAATAGTCGTTATTTTTAAATTTTTTTCGGTTAAGTCCGGGAATGCAATGCGACTGGAATAAGACTCAAATTTTAGCATTTGGTGTAGTAATGATCCTCCATGAATCTCACCTCTCTAGGACAATTCTAGTAGTTGCCGCCGCGAGCCTTTAGTTTTCCCATAGGAATTACACGTAAGAAAATGAGTAATTTTTTTTTTTGAGGTCAATATAAGTTTCTATGATCAATGAAAACGCTCGTAATTGTAAGAATACATTGATTACATGCCATTTAAGTATTATGCAGACTCAGATTATTTACATTGCTAAATTATCCTTTTTTAAACCCTTGTCCTATTTGGGTCAAATCCATGGACCGTAAATAACCGCTTTTTCAACAGTTAAACTTGGCCAGATATTTTTAAGTCCAAAATAAAAGTATTTTCCTAATAATAAACAAACCGCTTATCCAAATTAAACAAGTTTGGTATCAAATGAAAGAGGACTAAAGTAGCTTTAAAAATGTTTAAAACAATGTTTAACGAGGAAAGTCAGAGGAAAGAAAGCCAGCTATTGAAAACTATTTCAATAAAAACAGGGACAGGTATGCAAATTTCTTTTGAATTAGATTAAAAAACAAGTAATTTTTAGCAAAAAAAAAACCGACTTCAACTCTCATATAAAAAAAAAATAATATATATACATATATATATCTCATGATCCGCTGATCGGATCTTAACCAGATGGGACCACCTCTGAGACACTACCTTTCCGATGCAAAAAGAATTATCGAAATCGGTTGACGTGGTCCAAAGTAATGCGGTAACATACATAAAAAAAAAAAATAAAAATAAATAAAAAAAAAAAAATATTCCGACGAACTGATAACCTCCTCCTTTTTTGGAAGTCGGTTAAAAAAATACAAATAGAAGTGTTAACCTTCGTTCGTTACTTCTATTTAAGTCCGTATGTATGTACATATGTGCAACTGTGTTTTTATGAATAGAACTACATAGTTATGTACATATTTACATTCACATTTACCTTTGTTTATGTTTAGAAGAGCTCTTTATTATTGACGATATTGGAAGAATCCGGTACTGATATTGATGAATTGTGGAAAAGCTGAAAGGATTATCATTCCGGTGTCGATAGATAGCGCGTTTGTGGCATTGGCAGCATTGTCAGCTACTTAATAATATTTCTTTCTCTTTGACATAACTTTAGTTAGTTTATGATGCTACATATTTCGACTTCCATAAAATGTAAGAAGCAGACTTTTGGTGGACTTAAATCCGAAACGTGATTCCGCGATGAAAATTATAGACTGTTACCTAACCGTGAATGGAGTGTGTGTGAAAATCATTGACCATTTCGCAATTCCAAAAATTTGAAGACCTAAATTATCCTACAGCGTGCGTAAAAGTACGTATTTACGTACACACATTCATACATATATGCCGAACCATATGTACATATTGTAAATTTAATAGAACATGGGACGCACCGGCGTCAAATAAATACAGGGACGGGCCCTGACACATCTACTACATACAAACATATAAACATACAAATGTACTACGTACAAAGGTGTACGCGCCTCTTTGACTTCATACATCTGACGCCAAGCACTACTAGCAACGGGCCAACAGTGAAATTCGATCGATAAATGTTAAATGCACTAATGACACAAATTTAAATTTTATCGTGCGACACGTTTCGTCTTTTCGCATTATTTTGCGCTCTGCCATTTCCACATCGTTTGTGTTTGTTTATATCCAGTATCACTCCACTTTGTTAAATCTTGCATTGAATTTTTTTATTTAATTTTTTTTTTTTTTTGTTATTTACTGTGCATGCATATGCTTTTATCACTTCCAATTATTTTGTGTCACCTCCACATTTGCACTGCGCCCGCATCAACTTCTGCACACAAATTTGTGTATCATTCAGCACTGTGGCATCAACGTCAACGTGAAAAAGTCAACGCCGGCGTTAGCGTCAACGCTAACGTCAAAGACAGCAGCATCAGCGAAAGCGACCAAACATTGCCTTCTGCAGCAATGCCGATGGCCAGCAATTATATACAAACACACATGCTATACATATGTATACATATGTACACTTGTATGTAATCGTCAGATACACATTACTACTTAAAAAATGTGTGAATTTTCAGACGCATCCCTAAACTTCACAAGGATTTTTATAGTCGAACAAGTTTTCACTTGGATATTTTTTGCAATAACTCGTTAAAGTAAACTTGTTTTATATACTTTTACAATATCCAGGCCAAGTTATGGACTATTTAACACGCTTGAAAATCAAAATTAAACGCAAAGCACCAGCCATATAGTAGAAATTTAACCACCGACAAGCAGCACGTCCACTCTCTTCGTTACCACAATGGAAAATGATACAAAATACAAAGTGAAATTGCAATGTTCTCGTCGCTGCTCGAAAGAGAAAAGGTGCATACAAACACACGTACATAGGTAGGTCCATTCTCTCTAGTCGCTCAATTCAATATTTCGTTTTGTAAGAAGACCAACATAACTCAGTAAGTAAAATGCCGGGAAAACTAAAAAATACTAGTGAACCCGCATGGCAGTAAAACGCCCAAAATTAAATTTCAAATATCCAAAAACGATTCCAAATGTTAATCAGAGTTATAAGCGATCCGAGTGCCATATTTCATCTAAATGAGGTGCCGCCGTATCTAAGTGAAGAAAGCTCTCGCATAGTTTCGGTTTTTAATATATCCAAAATTTCAAATCACCCTGCACCGATAAAAAAAATGTTCAAACTTAAAAAACTTATACGGCCCAAGGTCTTTATTCCACCTCTCATACTTGAAATTGGAAAGAACGGTGCAAATCCAATCACCTTCACAACAAATTCCCTCTCGTATAATATTCGTATATACATACTTAGCTAGATCAGTACGACCGAAAAGGTGGCAAGCCTCACAAAAGATATTTTTTTATTTGTTTGAGGTTTCATTTTAATTGTTCATAAAACTTGTGTATAAGTTGACCAAACTTGACTGGTGAAAATCCTTTTCAAACGAGCTTTCAAGCTAAAATCTTTTTCAATCTCTTTCTCTTGTGATACAAATTTCAATTAACTGATGTATTAATTTGAATTTGATTTTTCAAACACGAGGCAACCCTCCTAAATAAAGGTCAAATATAAAGCATTTTCAAGCCCATTTCGATTGATACCCATATCTAGATAGTTCATCTAATTTACAAAATAATTTGAATGTAACTTTTTAAACAGGTGGCAATCCTTTTATAACATTATAATTTTTCCTACTAAAGATTACTTAAACTCTATCGTATGACACCCGTATTTCAATATTTCTTATAATTTGTATATAAGTTAATCAAATTCGACTTTTCAAACCGGCGGCAACCCTTGTATTTTCAAGCTAAAACATTCCTAAAATTCCTTCACCTAGTATGGTGATGAATATTTTAAATAACTGATGAATTAAGTTGAATCTGATGTTTTAAACATGTGGCAACCTCCTAGATATACTTCAGAATTAAAGCGTTTTCAAACCCATTTTGACCGATATCCATATTTTAGTTATTCATTTGGCTTTTAAAATAATTTGAATTTAACTTTTTAAACCGGTGGCAACCCTCTGCAAAAACACCTCAAAAATATTTCTAGTGTTCCAACTAGAGATTTCATAACAATTTTTTGCTTGACACCCGTATTTCAAATAATTTTGGTAGAAGTTAATTAAATTCGATTTTTTAACGTGTGGCAACGCTTTAAATATATTTCGGAAATAAATCCTTGTCAAACCCATTTCGATTGATTGACCAATATTTTAATAATTTATTTAGCTTAGTAAATAATTTGAATTTAACTTTTTAAACAGGTGGCATCCCTCTTTAAATACCTCAAAAATATTGTCGGTGTTGAAACTAAAGATTTCTTAACACTCTTTGGTTTGACATATTTTAATATTTCGTTGTGTATAAGTTAACTGAATTCTACTCTTGAAACAAGTGGCAACCCTCTTCAAAGTATTTACAAACTATTGCCTTCTTACAATCTTTTCGTCTAGCGCCCACATGGTGATACATATGTATGTATGTGCATTAGCTAAGTTCCTTTATTTAAATTAAATTAAATTTTTTAAACAGGTAGCACCTCTCCACTGCACAGCTTTTTAAACCCATTTCGATTAATACCAATTTTGTAATAATTGGTCTAACCTTTTAAATAATTTCAACTTAATTTTTTAAAAGTTGACAACTCTTTTCGATAAAACTTTGATTGCGTTTTGCCACAAAATTGAAATTAATTGAAATATTTCGTAATATTATTAAACATGCGATATACAACATTCTTTATGTTTTTAAAACTAAATTCAAAGATTTTATGCATTTAAATAAGTGTTGTACTAAATTGAGGCTAAGTTGTTAAAAAAAAAAAAATTATTTCAGTTTGCATACACTCACACTTTGCAAATTGCCTATCAGCAATTTTTCTTTCAAGACGATAGGCAATTTTTCGTTTAATTTATGAGTGAGAAAATTGTGTGTTTAAAAAAAACATGGAAAAACAAAAAACTGAGCAAATTGAAAGCATTTCTATTTTCAATGTATAAACGCAAAGTAAGCGAACAAATTTTTAGTTCTCAATTTGGTTGCATTATCAAAACATTTTTGCCTACCAAAAGCTTCATCAAATCAACCAAGCTACCACTTGTCGGTCCTATTCAGAGCTAACACGTTTCTAATTTCTATAGTGTATACAACTGGTTTATCTTACTTTGGCATTGTACTTTTCGTTTAGTAATGTGTTTCTAGTTTCAATGCTAAATGGGAAGAATTAAAAAGAATTTTTCGCGATTGCTCGGATCGTTGAATGAGTAAAGCCACTTAATTGTTTCGCATTAAATTTTGCATTGAATTTTGGCTGAAAAGAAAACATTTTGTGGTCAAATTGTTTGCATTTTTTATTTGATGGCATTTAAAAAATTTTTTAAATCGCGAGTTTTTTTTACTTCTTCTATCTTTCTGTAAGTTAAGCACTGAACCATCTATACTGAAATTCAGAGATACTTACGAACCACTTCTTGATCGCATACAGCGCCTCGAACTAATGAACCAAACCCAGCTTAAGGCTCAATATTTTGTGATTGATTTAGAGAATTTTCCTTATACATATTTGGCAAAATAACACCCAATTGAAATGAGGACACCGGTTACCTTTTCTTTTAGTGTTTGTTCATATATGTACATATGCAGCTACTACACGTTCTACAAAAGTGGCTTAACTCAAAATATACTCTTTTTAATATAAGCAATATTCGTCTGTAATTTTCTAAAAAAAAAAACACACACACACACAGTTAAGGCTCCCATCCCCATACGATTAACTTAAACTCAGAAATAGTTGTTTGTGTTTTCTGTAAAACGGCGATTTACGAGCTACTACATTTTTGAAGAACGTGTGCGATGTTTTTAATTTTGAGATTTACGAGTACGCTGTTGCCCCTTACATATCCTCTATGTTTCACAAATGAAAAGACAAGAAATCATATGGTTTTGAATGCGAAAGCGCTTTTTATTTTTTTTTTATATATATATTTGCATTTAAGTTTCTTAATTTGTTTACAACAAAGTATTTAGATATATAAACTTTGTTATGTTTAGTCTTAAAAGCAAAAACATACTCAATTATAATTATAGATAATTTATTGTATTTTAGAATAAAAAAGTACGAAAGTTAAACACACAATAACATACCAAACAACTTTCGTTACATACTTGCATACGTAGTACGTACATAAGCATGTACATATGTATGTTCCATTCAAAGTACAAATGCGAGTTTCTACATTCATACGCACACATGTATGCACATTAGGGTGGTCCAAAAAAAAGTAAAGTCGGAAATTTAATGCTCTCACCCCCTAGGATTGTTCTATACCAAAAAAAAATATACCCCTGTTTTTTTATTTTAAAATCAAAATATATTTAGAGGTCGCTCAAAGCGCTCAAAGTTTCCCATGTATTTTGTATGGGGAAAAAAAGACTTTTCGTAGAAATTGCATAGAATCCATGGAAATCAAAATTTTTCAATCTGAAAACTCTGCTTCTCTTCAGAAGACTTCAGAGAATAATGCCCAACTGTTTATTTAAACATTTTTTAATCTTAACTATTTTTTAAGGGTCTCCGAAATATCCCAAAAAAAATCAAATATACAAACAGAAATATACAAAAGAAAAAATAGTTTAAATTAAAAAACGTTTAAATAAACAATTGGGCATTATTCTCTGAAGTCCTCTGAAGAGAAGCAGAGTTCTCAGATTGAAAAATTTTGAATTTCATGGATTCTATGCCATTTCTACGAAAAGTCTTTTTTTCCCCATACAAAATACATGGGAAACTTTGAGCGACCTCTAAATATATTTTGATTTTAAAATAAAAAAAGGGGTATATTTTTTTTGGTATAGAACAATCCTAGGGGGTGAGAGCATTAAATTTCCGACTTTACTTTTCTCCCATACATTTTTGGACCACCCTAATGTACATATGTACCTATGACTCATCTCCATACAGATATACTGCATATTGTCAAATTTTATAAACTTGCTAGCCTTATTCTTTCAGCAAGTAGGTGTCAATATTGCTAGATACGTGCATTCTTATACATACATACACACATACGTACATAAAAATGAATGGGCACACAGCGAAACATCTTTAAGCGGAACTATTGAAAACAAATGGACTTAGCGTCAAAATATTATGAATATTTAGTGGGCTATTTAAAAACGTTTTTTGCCTTTTGAAATTTCTATTTCGTCCTCTCCCCACCCTGTTTTTTGCAATATTCATCTTATTTTGGGAGATATTGCAAAAAAAATGCGACCTGAAAGGTCTTTTGTATCTCTACAGATAGTTCCTAACCCAGTATGCCCTAGACACCATCATCTTCCCTAATGAATCCTAAAAGGACTATGGTAGTCGAATCTCTTATTTCCATGGGTTTGACTTTAGAGTTTTGAAGTAAGTTAAGGCTGGTTTTCACTATGTCAAATTCAGTGGCATTGTCATCAAATAAGTGAAAACACATTGTCAAATGGAACTAAAAAGCGGTATATCAATTGATTTATATCAGAATAGGTCTTCAGTCGTGCACATATGCTGCTAAATTGGCTATCTCTCCATTTTTGGTCCATAATATAATCGTTAAAGATATGAAAAAAACGAAGATAATGTTGTGTCAAAATATGTTGTCAAAATATGACATAGTGAAAACCAGCCATTAATTTTTGTCTAGTCAGGGCTGGACCGTCACAAAGAATGTGTTCGAAAGATTCCTTGTCTTCAAGACAGAGCCGGCAATTCCGACTCTCCGATAACAAATAACATTGAGAGATAGCCACAGAGCTTCGCCTGCCAGCAAGTTTCACAATTCACTAGGATAAGGCGAAAGTTGGTACGAGCAGGTCTACAAAATTTTGGTTAGATTGAAAGAACATTACTCCCCCCGACTGGTTTGCTTGCTAATCTGCTGTTAGTCCCGGCAAGGATCTCTGGGCATGGATGGTCCAAAGAGATTACGAAAATTTCGCCACTTCAACTCTGTTCCGGTATTGAAAAAATCCATAATGTGTCGTAATTGCATCAATTATGTGCCAAATTGTTTACCTGACATTGTTGGTTATAAATAGAGGTGGACTAATAAATTACAACAACAACAAAAATCATTACAAGGTTTTTCCTTAATCTTTTTAGTTTTCCCTGTGATAATGAAACATTATGAAGGGTTCTTGGTTACTTTTCCCTTCTTATAAATATGCGGATAAATCAAATAATGTATTTCGGTATTTTTGAAAGTAGACTTGTTAAAATAGAATGGGGTAACTTGTTTTCTAAAAAAGTCACAAAAAATTAATTTAATTTAATTTAATTTAAAATTTTGCGTGATAAAAAAAATAATTTGCCTATTCGAAATATACAGTGGCTCTAACGAATAATCGTACAAGCTTTATATCCGAATGTATGTGAATAAATGCATAAGTATTAGACTGTGTGTTTGTGATAAAACGACTATTTTTTCGGTCTCATATGCAAATGTAGATTTTGGTCACGTGCTTGCAAAAATAAGAATTTTCAATTATACAAATTGTTCTGCTATTTTTTTTTTGACAATTAAATACAACCCATAAAATAAAAATACACACATTCAATTTTAGTATAATAAAGTGCAAGCTTCAATAGCTTGGACTTACCGTTGATTTTTTCTTTCCTTTTTGTTGAAGGTTTCGCTCATTTTCTTCCATATAAAAATTCCACCACCATGGAAGGGTAAGTCCCAGCTACTTCAAACGAGAGCTGGGATACTATCGATAGTTGAAAACTGCCGCCACTATCGATAGTTTTTGAAAACTATGGCTCAGGCGATTACTATGGCTCAGGTTATATTCTTGAAAACTCGGAAAAAATTTTGTTTTCAAAATGGTGAGTGCCGTTTTTTCAAAACCAATGTGGCGGACAAAGTTTTGAAAAATAATTGGATTCATTGGAAAGTTGTTACGGAATTGCAAGTAACAGTAAAATTTTAAATATTCTTATGGAATTTATTCTATGGTTTTAAAATGTATCCGTTAAAAAAACGCCAAACTCAGTTGTGCAAGCAAAGCATTGTAAGCAGCTGGGCGTAAACTAATTTCCATTAACTCGATTGCGCATTATTATTCTTTTAACCTCTTGGCCTATGGATTCCTTTTCATTTATACGTATGCATGTATGTACATATGTATTACTTAGGTAGGTATGAACGAAGGTAACTCCATTAGCATGAACTTTTTGCAGTTATAGTGTTGGTTTATTGTAATTTAGGTAGATAATAATTATTGAGCTAGTAATTATAATATCGATACACGATTATGTATGTACGTATCTATTTACACCAGTTATTATAATTTTATAAATTTATAAAGCAATTAAGTATTTAGCGTTAGGCGCGTACACAATTCATACTTAATCATCTTCTGTATTAACTATAGATCTCATCATTAAACACCCGTACTTTATCAAACGAAAAGACGAAAAAAAATTAAGTCATCATTCATTTTTACATGTAGATCCTCTGTGTTACAGAGTTGGAGGGAAATATTCTGCTCTGAAGTTAGACCTCAAACATCTAATTAATCACTTAAACGTCTATACAACTACGAATGTACTATTTGCTATTTATTCAAAACAAGTACATTTAGTTTCAAAAGTTGTGCTCCTCTTCAAGAATGTATGTAGGTATGTATGTATGTTTGTAGTGTCTATCTGGTATTTTTAAGTTTATATCAAAACCGGTCAATTATTTTGAAACTTTGCATATTGTTGCATCCACTGACAACACCCAAATCCTTGGAGGGTGGAATGAGTTGAATGAAAGTTCGTGAAAGATTTGCAAATATTTTTTAAGCACAAAAGAAATCGCTTTCCTCACTTTATTGCCGATTAGAGGCGAAGTTTAAAAAAAAAATTGGTTGGTCAAACTCATTTCGTTGAGTTTTTATTTTGAAATGTGTCGCGCCGCCGTCTGCTGCCATCACAATGAAAGTGAAAAGTTTAATTCTGTTTCGTGTATTAGTAGTAAATAGTTTGTTATTAGGACGTGACTTGTGGGCAAAAATAGGCTTCAAACCTGTTAGATTTTTTTTTTTTGGACAAAACGCTGGTGACGGGTCGATTCGGTCTTGGTAGGTACTACTCTCAGATTCAAAAAATATAGCTTAATTTGTACGTGCATAGTTTTGTAGTAAGCGCATAGAAGCAAATATTCATTATAAAAATAAAGCATATATATATATATATATATATATTTGTTTTAATAAATATGTACGTATGCATGTATGTATGTATATTCACTCCTATTCTGATTGGCGATAGTACGAGTAAATATGTAATTGTTTGCACACTCTCATTAGTAGTGGTTCGAGACACTTGTTATGCCTGAAAAGTTCCGATATGCTTAGTTAGAAGAAATTTTATGTTTGCAAAAAGATATCAATCTGATTGATTACTTACATATGTACATATATACATATATATATGCATGCATATTATTCCTATATACATACATAGTATTTCAAAACTATTATTTTTAGCATTACGTACATATATATGTACATTTGCAGAAATTACGATTATCGTCAATCAAATGGGAGCAAATCTTAGAATGTATTTATGTATAAGTATAAATATATGTATATTTACTTGCAGGGTATAATGTATATATGCATGTGTATGTAAAGTATGTATGTATGTACATATGTATGAGACATTCTTCGTCAACTGAAGCCCCCCTCTCTCCAAAATTGGCTCAGGCGAAAAAAGGGGTTATATTCTTGTAAACTCGGTAAAAATGTGTTTTTTTTTTAATGATGAGTGGCGTTTTTTGAAATCCAAAAGGGCGGACAAAATTTTGAGAAGTGATTGGGTTCATTTGAAATTTGCTACTCCATGCGTTTTTAAAATTCAAAATGTCGGATAAATTTTTGAAAATTCACTTATCTCCTCTTCGAAATTATTTTCAGATTAAAAACCCATTTCAATTCTTGAAAATTCGGTAAAAAATAGTTTCTTTAAAAATTGCTGTGTTTTGAAATGCAATGTGTATCCGACACCAATAGGGCGGACAGAAATTTAAAATTCACTTGAAATTTGTTGCTCGTTGGTTTTTGAGATCGCTGATTACGAATATGATCGTGGCATTTTAAAATTTATCCAGCTCCAATATGGCGCATTGAATACATTTTGTTTTTTTTTTAATTTCCGTCATTTTGAATTTAAAAAATTCATGGTCATATTCATAATCAGCGACAGCAAAAAACCTCTAGTGACAGGTTTCGAGCGAATTCCATAAATTAAAAACTTTTCCGCCATATTGGACTCAAAAAACGCCACTCATAATTTTAAAAAAAAAAAACTTTTTACCGTTTTTTTTAAGAATATAACCCCCTTTCTCGCCCGAACCAATTTTGGTGATATGGGGGCTTCAGTTGACGAAGAATGCCACATATGTATGTGTACGTATGCATGCATGTATTTATGAATATTATTTACGTAAATATGAATACATATTATATATGATATTTGTAGAGTATGTGTATATATATATATGTATGTGCATATATACCTAAACATAGTACAGGCATATGTAATTAAATATGTAAAAGCTTGTATGTATATACTTATGTATGCTTAATATGTATGTAGTTATGCATGTATATGTATATGTATGTAGGTATGTATGCATTTATGGATTAATGATGTATATGGACAGCATGATTATCTTTCAGTCGTCTTAGATACTTCTGTTCTACATACATAAGTACTATATATCAATTCCATTGCTAGTCCCATAATCAAATCGGCCTCAATGAATTTTTTACAAATCAAAATAAAACTCAACAAGCATAGCCTAAAATTGATTAACTTTCAATTCATTGCCTTGCAACTGTACTAGCCGAAAGGCTTCACGTATAGTTGGTGTCATTAAAAGTTTAAGATTCTCCTCGGCCTCGCCGGGCAAAGAACGCAGCAACTCCATGGATGCCACAACAAGTTGTGCCAAAGCAGCTTTCTTATAATTCGAATCCTTAAGTATGCTGGATGCACGTTGTTGTTCGATTTCCGGTGAAATCGTTTCCGATTCACATTTCTGCGGGCGATTCGTATCGAAGGGATTGTTACGGCTTTTCGGTTGAAATTCGCTAATCAATGTTGTCATTGTGACATTTTCCTCCTCCAGTTGAATGCTTTTATTGGGCGAGGTATCCGTCGTTTCCGAATGACTGGACGTGCTGACATTGTCACAATTACTGTTAATGGATATGCGCATCGGTTTGGCGTTTATATGTTTGTGTTGTGTTAGAATGCGCTTCTCACTACCATCTCCGGTGCGCAGTTTTCCATTCTCGATATCATGCATTGCTGAGTTATTCAAATACAATTCGCACACTAGGTTCCAAGCGTCCTGTAGACAAAACAAATAACGTACAAAATTCTCCTTCTTCTTAACGGTTGTTGTATTGAGGCGCGAGCAGGATTCCAGTATAAAATTCAAGTCCTCTGGTCCCAGATTATAGACTACAATATCATTTAAATACGAATCCACTAAAGCAATGTAGTAGATCATCCACGATGAAGTCATTTGTTTGTATAAATTTGCTGCATACTCGATGTTGGATACCTTCTGCATTAGAAACTTAAGACCAGGGCGGGAGTCAAATTCAAGCGAACTCGTCAAATACTGTTTGACGCAACGCAGTAAAATTTCCTTGGATCGGAAGTCCAAGTCGTAGTCGTGACTAGATGCTGAAGTTGCATAATTGTCGAAAATGCACGTGGACACCGCCTGTGGTACACACTTTAGGCGGGATAGTAAAAGCTTCGCAACTAATTGCAATAGCATTTGATTGGCTAACAAGCCAACTACCAAATTTTTGAATGGTATGCGAATCACAAAGTTATCCAGATTCGAATTGAATCCATTGTTTAACGGATATAATAGGAATGAATAGCTGCGTTCATCGGTCAAATGTTTATCCAAGTGGCTAGTTACCTTCGGGGTCGGCTCTCGTTGATTATCGGAAAGAAATACCTGTTGCGCTAATGAGTAGATGCGAGTCAATTCGTCCACGGTACTATCGCGTCGAGCTGCCACCTTGACATTGGCGCAGTCACCATAAAAACTATTCGACTTCTCATGGAAGGCGAACGACAATTGCCGCAGTGGAGCGATGGTCACTGTGCAGGCGCGATGAATGGCCGAACATGCAATCATCCATTGTGACTCATTGAACAGCATTCCAGTGGATAAGATGACGTGCTTTAGGCACGATACGCCGACTCGTGCCACCGACTCCTGCGCCTGCGCGGCACATTCAATTAAAACGAGCAGCAGCTGTTTCAGCGCCAATGTCGCCGATCCGGATATTTTCGTTGGCGAATCAATTACATTTGCTCCACTTTCCTCGCTCGAAGAGGAACTATCATATTGATTTGTGTGTTGAGTATTGTCATTATTATCAACTCGTTCGGTTACGAATTTCAATTTAGAATACAAAGAATTTTCAGTATTACTATTGCTAGTAGCGCTACTGCCCGCGGTTGGGTTGGGCGCTGTGTGCACAATTTGAGTTACGCGTGTTTTCATAACGCACTGTTTTCGGCTATCAGTTACCGATTTCTCGATGAATTCCACAACCAAATCGGTGGTCATGCAGCAACAGTGCTTAAAGTTTTTCTCAATTAATGACCATGGAGCACCAGTTTTATTTATGTAACGTAGCCAGTCTTGAATCATCGGTATCAACAGGTGGTTTATGCAGTAGAACCCGAAGTCCATACCGGGACTGGCGAGGAGATTTTTAAATAGTTTAAAAATTGTCTGAAGGATTGGCGCTTGATGTGAATAAGGGCAAACGATAAGTGAGTTGGTCAAGCCGTCCAGCAAGAGGAACCAAACTTTTAACACCCCTGAGGGTTTATCCATTTCATCAATTTTCACAATTGTATCTTTGTCGATATGCAGTGAACGATACGAGATCATGTGCTGTTCATTTTTCGTTTGTAAATAATCATTGCCAAAGTAGGTGAAATTTTCCATTGAATTTGGAATGTTTGCGTCGATTATGTGTGTATAGGAGATGCCTTTAATTTTGTATGTTGAATGAAAGTTTGGACATTTCGGCATATTATACATAAATCCTAAAATAGACGAACAGCGCTCCAAGAATCGCAAAGTTTCGTGCAAAAACTCCGTGGGTCGAAAGTTGTTCTCATCTTCGCTGCTTGAATTGCTATTAGATGTTCCACCGCCTGAAATCTCCAGGTAGGATAACAAGCAGAGTATACAATCCAATCCGGCATTAGCGAATACTAAAGTATTATCGGAATCGAGGAAGACTCTGAAGATATCGATAATATTACTCATATTAAGCATACGGCTGCGAGCATTGCGTAATGTTCCGAAAAGTGGGCGCCAACCTGAACGGATTTCCGTTCGATGCGCTTCAACTATTTCATACAAGCAGGCCACAATTTGATCCTGAAAATAAAAAAAAAGAATAATTTCATTTAAATTCTTATCAAGAATTTCATCTACATAAATTCTTAGCAATGATCAAAATGACAAACAAATGAAATCTATATGTGTACATTAGGGTGGTCCAAAAAAAGCATGTTATAGAGTAAAGTCGTAATCTTTATGCTCTCACCCCCTAGGATTGCTCTACATTTATCGAAAAAATACTAATATTTTTTATTTTGAAATCAAAAAATATTTAGAGGTATGGTAAAAAATCGCTTTTCTGGGGGTTTTGGCGGACCTGTAAAATATAGTTACTATGCAAAAATGGTTAAATAAATAATTGGGTATTATTGGGTATATAAAGTTTGAAACTGGGATTTGTATGCTTTTGGTTAAAGGTAGAACAATTTTTTTTTATAGAAAAATAACACAAACAAAAATTACCTCGAAAAACACGACGAATATTTAAAAAATTAAAACATGGTCATTTGATTGAGTTACCGTATGTATAGTATACAAATCTATGCTTAAGCTCTATCTAACTTTTTAATTAGAGGAAGTAGAAAAAATCTTAAATAAATATGTACATTAGCGTGCTTCACCAAAAAAAAGTTGCTTTATAAAATTTGTAAAAATTTTTAGGTAGATGTTTTAAGCTCAAACTCTTCGATCATCTGCTGATTTTTGGAAACATATTTTTAAAAACTAATTTTATTTATAAAAATCTCGATTTTTGGAAATATTTTCAAAACGATCCAGCTTACCTAAATCTTAATATTTTTCCGAAATATTTTAGCGGAAGTCTTAAAATATAAAATGTTTTACAATCGCAATAGAAAAATAGTACCGCTTTTTATGGAGAGTGGTGCACGCTAATGTACATATGTAAACTGAAATATTATAGTACAGTTGCAAGTTTTTTGAAAGAAAGTGTTCTATCGAAATTTGAATTATATACCGTTGGCAATTTTTGGAATATAGATATGTATATAATGTAATTTAAGAAAGACAAGGAGCAGTCCTCGGACTTCTACTACATTGTGGCAGATCTTCCTCTTTTTGAGCATCTACTACATTTACACAGAAGGCATGAAATCTACCACATATTCCCGTTTTTAAGTAAATAGTTTAGTTTTTGTTCGTCATAAATTTATTTTATTTTTTTTTCATTTTAAGAGCGAAAAATTTTCCAACACTAAACACAATGTGATTAAAAGAAAGGTGGCAGCATTCCGCAAGGTTGCGGAAATCTCTCAAAGTATGTTCGAAAAAATTTTTTATGTAAAAGAAAATGCGTTACACTGTCAACCACAAAAAAAAATGGCGAAAAATGTACGAGTTTTTTTAGCAATTTCAAATTTGCACTTCATTATGTATACTAAAACTTGAAATTTTTTCTGAGATTTTTCTTCATGGTAATTTTTACATACATATGCATACATAAGTATTGAATTCGCTACGCAAAATGTACCTGTACGTCTGCATCACAAGTGTCCATGCTCAAAAGATTTTCGAATGGCTTTAGCAGTGCCTCGTTAAAGTGAAAATGTGGCAGCTCAGATTGCTCCACTAAGAGTGCCGTTATTATGTCATGTATATATTCGATGGCCCTTTTGGATATCACACGATCTCGGTGGCAAGAAGCCTGAAAGTTGACAAAATGTAGCAACCAACTTAGATAAGTCCTGCATCAATACTTACGTCCATTAGATGAGGCCCCGTTATTGCCCACACCTTAAGTATATGCAAAAGAGGTCTGGAACTTTTGAACACCTTTAAAGTAACGTCACCGATTCGATGCAATAAAAGCGACATCGGAAGCGTGTCCATTTTTTTCCAACCTTTGCTGGGCCACCAAATACGGGTGCCTTTGCGCGTAACATTATTTTTATAGAGCTGTTCACGAGAAGCTTTACACAGGTTCTTCAGAAACTGACAAAGTGATGGTAGACTCAAACGCTCAGCGGCATCAGAAAAAAGATTTTCAGCCTGGTGGGATAGGGCGCACAAGACTTTTGAGGTATCACCCTGACTTAGTAATACAGTTTCATTAGTGCCAGAATAAACCTTCAGAATGGATGTAATATTAGTATTAGGGCTTTGTAGAGGTGCTTGAAGAAAACTGTAGACATCCACGCTGTAAAAATAGATGTGCATTTATGGTTACAAACATGTCTGCCTAAATTAGCCAAAGTGTTATGATAAAAAAGTTTATCCTTAGAGAAAAGCTGCATATCGAGGGCTTATATTCAATAATCTCTATCACGTTTCTGTTCACGACCCATGTGGGAGTTAGCCATCATCACGGATGTTAGTTCTAACTGTACCATCCAATAGCAAATTCATTTACTTTTATATCAGAAATTGGAGATAGAAGGTACTGAATATATGTAAACCCTCGATATCTATATTTCAAGAGAATATTACCAGGTTTCGTCGTCATCTATGGGTAGTGAGGACAAGTTCAGCTTATCATTTTGGCAAGCATTATTTAGCTTTTCGCCAGTCTCCATATCGCGACGTCCTGTACCCGGCGACGTGCCTACCGCTGAATTTTGCAAACTGAAAATGTCATGTTCCAATTGGCTGACGTGCCGGCAAACCGCAAATACAGATTGCCAACAATCCGAGCTATAAGAACCCAAATTCAAGCCGCCGTTCAACACCACATCCATTGACATCGCTTGACTAGCTGATATTCTCGGTCCGTTGGTCTGGCACACATTTGATGCCAGCAGGCCCAGAATTTTCCCTGCCAAATGTTGCAAATTCAAGCTGTTACTTAAGGTGGCCGCCTGAACGTAAAAGAAATATAAAAACGACTCAAATTACTTTGTAAAGAGACAATTATCGCATGAGTTATTCAACATTTTACCGAATGTAAACCATCTAGACACATTGCATATAACGCCTCTCCATTGGAGTTTTTGGCCTTTGCTTTGACACGCAGTGTACGTTTCGACAAGGCCACCAATTTATTTGAATTGTTACACGATAGATCACCTAGACCCGAACTCAAAACTATAACCATAGAGTCCCAGCAGCAGGTTAGTAGGCGCCGACACAGTTTCTTGGCAGCCTCACGTCGTTTATTATCCTGTTCATCGGTATACTTAATATTGGCCATCTGTAAACGCTGCCACTCGGAGAGCATCTGCGTGGGTCCCAACCCACCAGCATCACAAAGCATATCCACCAGTGCACTTCGTGAATTGGTACCTTCCAATTCCTCCCTACTCATCGCTTCTAGAACATTCGAGACCAATATGGACTGGTATAATTCACAGAGCCAAGGAGACGAAAGGTACACCAAAACACCAGTGTTCTGGACAGATGTAACAAATTGCTGCTCCGACATCGGAATCAATATCTCCTTCTGTGGGTCGTCATAGTAGCCAGCCTTTGTTAGTTGTAGGCTGAGTAACAACGACGAATAAATCGCTAAGTAAATGCCATCGGCATTGATGGCCGTCAGGTGGTAGTCGAAATCTGAGAAGTTCATTGTGTTTTCTTGACACACGACCGATGCAAATTCTTGCATGGCCTCGTCAACTTCAATACACGAGCGCAAATGCAAAAGTTTTGGCACCAAATCTTTTCTCAACGCTTTTGAAAAATCCCGCGCGTGTTGCCGATCATTGTCGATGTCGGTTCGTACTGGTATGACAGGAGCCTCGAGATGTGTGTAGGGCCATCGGTTTTCCACGCGTGATGTTTCATCGCTCGAAGTTGATTGTTCCTCCTCTTCAGGCCCCTCTGTATCACCCGAACCATTCGAAGCTGCATCGTGTTCAGGATGGTCACCGTCACTGTCTGAGCCGGAGGAGGTTTCAAATACACTCTGACGAAACTCTACAATCGCATCACGGTATGGCGCGGGCAGACGTGCCATCGATTGGTATGTTAATGGGCCTGTATAATCGGCATCCTTTAATGTTTCATGACGACTGTTTACGGTGTTCACAATCTGTAGATAAATACATACGTATGTATAAGTGCATGCCAATATATCGTCGGCTGAGATGAAGATTGCCCTATCTCGGCTGTCGCTTCGAAAACGCCACATCTCAATACATATATATAAATTCAATATATCGGCAGCTGAAATAGGCCGTTCTTCAACCATTTGCTGAGATAGGGCGATCTTCCACTCAACTGTAGATACTCTCCTGTATAAAATTTTACGTATGATGGTACGTATAAATATTATGGTTACCTGATCGCTTATCATCGATTCAGTGAGTTCACCACTGCAGAGAATTTGTAAACTGTCCAGTAGGGCGACCATGCATTCTACGCTTGCCTGTAAGCCTGCCTCTACTCCGGAACCAGCACTGACGCCATAAGCACACTCTTCCATTGCATCAATCATACTGAAAATATGGGAATATTTAAATGTGCATACATATTAACTAGGCTCGTTAAACTCTATTTTTTTTTAAGCTAGAAGCAATGGCTAGGATAGAAATTTGTTTTCATTATTTTACAAAACTTTATTTTCCATTCGAATCATCAGAGTATTTAGTTGTCCTCCGGGTAAACCAATAGCTGATTAAATATTTCACGCATATGGGATGTGCCACGCCTCCTCATACCATACTATAAGCGTCTTCCAAAGTTACATATATATTCACGCCAAATTTCAAAGTCATGGTTCTCAATCCCTTTTACTTACCATAAGCGCCTACTATGCAAATGTCTCCACTAAATATCGATCTCATGCGACTTATAGTTTCAAAGTACCTTCAGAAACCTCTTTCGTCTGACAGCGATATTTTGATAAATTTTTCAATTACCTAGCTCCACTTTTCAAGCAGATGATAACCCATTTCAAAATATAGCTATGCACATTTTTTTCGCCGAGACTAACCAGTTGGCACCCATATTCTAATATTTAATATTACTTGGGTATAATTTACGTAAACTCGAATTTTTCAATCAGGTGGCAACCCTCTAAAAAATTATCTAAAAAACCTCCTCGCCGAGAAGTGTTTCCACAAGCGGATGTAAGGTTCCAACAAACCAACATCCATTTTTTATACAAATCGTTACTGGAGATGGCCATGGGACTAAATATTCAGTCCCGACCCGCCCATCCCGAAATTCAATTTTTAAGTCCCGCCATCCCGCCCATCCCGACGTTTTTCAGAATTGTACCGCGGGTCCCGTGGGTCCCGAAATCTATCACTAAGAAAAATTCACATGTCTCAAATTAATTTTAAAAAACAAAAAAAAAATAATGATAGATTTGGCATCTTCCGATTATTTAGTTTTGCTTTGCTGTTCGTTTTCGTCCCAATAAAACATAAAAAAGTGCATATTTCACACATCGTTTTTAAGAAAGATTTTCCGAATTCGCTGAGGTTGCGCTTCTATCGGGACTGTCGGGAAAGGATTTTGGTCCCGTCCCGCCCGCAAAGTTTCACAGACCTTCCCGATACCGCCCATCCCGGCCAATTTGAAATCAGTACCGTGAGTCCCGCGGGTCCCGATATCCCGCGCCCATCTCTAATCGTTACCTTAATTTACAAAGGCCCCAAACAACACTTTTTTCTTTACAGATATTGGTAGTATATATTAAAATACACCTTCAATAAAAATTTGAAAAGGTTAGTACCAAAAACAATGGAGTTATGCCACTTTTTAAAATGCTCTATCCATATACATATATGATTTGATTTTTATAATGTTTTTTGCTTCTTCTTATAAATTAAAAAAAAATGGTGGTTAGGGCCTTTGTGAATTAAGGTGATGATATGTATGTATGTTGACTTTTTTTATTTGTAAATCAAAAAACATATATAAGCTCAAAGCGCTCAAAGTTTTCCTTGTATTTTATATGGGGAAAAAACAACTTGTAGAAATGGTACGGAATTCTTGAAAATTAATATTTTTCGATCGGAAAACTTTAGTTCTCTACAGGAGACTTCCAATAACAATACCCAATTATTTACTTAACTATTTTTTAATACTAAAGATTTTCCATTTATCCCCCCATTGCATTTTCTGGGGGCTTTGGCGGATCTTTAAATATAGTTACTATGAAAAATTGGTTAAACAAATAATTAGGTATTATTATTAAGAACCTCCCGAAGAGAAATAGAGTTTTCAGATCAATATCGAATCCATATAAAATACATGGAAAACTAGCCATTGACTCTAGCTCAAAAATCGACTTTTGCGAACCTGCTTAATGTACATATTGTCACACTTATGCCACAAGCATGAATTTGCATATTTATCAGTTTCGTGTAACTGGGTTGAATTGATTAACCTTTGGCTGTTCTATGTTATACCGAAACCCAGAATACCATGCGTACACTCAAACCACATACATATTTTACAATTTCAGTTGCATAAATGTAGTTAAGTCTCGTAAAAAAACTTTCAAACTTGATTTCCCACAATTTTTATTTTTACACATTCATGTTTCTGGCATATGGGCGACGATATGTGATTTTGTGCATTGGACAACTTAAAAAAAACTTACAGCCGAAATAATGCCATTTCATCACTACATCCTTGGCCAGTATTTTTATCAACGTACAAAATAACCGCTAGGTCTATTAAACGCTCCGGACTTTTTAATATTTCACGAACACATTTCAGTGGCTCGGTGCGATTTTGTGGCGATGGCAGCAGAAGCATGCGATGGAAGAGTGCTTCCAACATGGGTCGCAGTGAACCATAAGCTCCCGCAATCCGCAGCAGCTGAATTCCAGTTAAGTACACGCAACGGGCTTGGGGACCATCTAAGCCGGGACCAGTAAAAAAGCCACGTGCTTCGTTTTCAATCAAGTTTAGTGCATCTCTAAATGTTAAATGAAATTAATTGTTATATAAATAATTGAGCATGTATGTATTTATATTATGTATACATAGTATGTATGTACATATGTATCCAACTCACTTGTAAGTAAATTTTTTGTCCAAATTAATACGGCCTGGCGAACCCAATGCTGCGGCCAGAGTTGGGCAAAATTTCTGCCATAGGAATGATGTAAAATGTGGATTTGCATGAACATTTCGTGGCAACGCGGACGTCAGTGTCAAAATGCATTCAGTTAAGTATAGGGAGCAATTATTCTCGGGTTTTTTGTTGGGCGAACCACTCGCCGCCGGCTCTACCAAACGACTGCATAGCCATTGCATTACCGGTATCACTTCGTTGTACACCGCTGATGCTTGTGTCTGTGTCATTAGACCGGGTGGTGCAGTTTTTTTCACCTCTTCGGCCTCCTCAATGAGAAATGCGCAAAAAGTGCGCAAGCATTGTGATGCTGCTGCCAGCGAGGCGGCTTTGGTGGCACGTGAGCCCAACTCCCAACACTCGCCGCAACGTGAAAGTGTTTCGATGAGAAGACGACCATTTAGTGTGCACGCAGGTGAGCAAGCCATAGCCAAAAATAAGCGTAGAACATTGATAACGGTCTCCTCGCTACTGGTTGTGGGTAAAATTCCACTTGTGGCGCGGAGCAACTGTGCGGGCAACCATACAGAATCATCCTCTGGTTCGAGGCCGATGTAAAAACGTTCATCCTTAATTATACGCTAAAGGTAAAGCAAATAAATATTGGGATCACTCTTTGTTTTAACTAAAGAATATCATTTTTCATGGTGGACTACCCATACCAAAATCAGTTCGTACGTCTGAACATTTTTAATATTTACTCTTGAAACTTTTATATAAGTACATATATTAACAAATCAAATGTTTTGATACAAATTTGGTAATTTCCCAAAACTTGAAATGTGGTTTCTTAGAATCAACAGCAAAAGAAAAAAATTACAAAAGCAGCAGCGAGATTTTTCAACACGCTTATAAAATGCAGTCCAATTCAATTCGTAGCTTCGTAAAAAAGTCGTTCATCTTTTTCACAAATTTTAATGAGAAATTAGGGCT